AACACAGAGACTTGTAGCCCAGAAGATTGGTTGTAGAAGGCTGCCCTATCCCTCCTAGAACATTGGTCTGTCTTCACGCCCACAGAAGCAGAACAGATAGAGATGAGAGGACTAACTCACCTAAATTTTCTGAAAATTACCTTGAAGCTCATTTCATCTCACACATATTTTAATGTTTGCCCTGTTTTCTGCTTTTTTGAATGAGGAAAGTGTGTGTAAAAGGCATAAACCCCCCTTTTTAATAAGCATTCCAAAGAGCAGCATTTTCATATATGCACATTTCTGAATGGTGCCCTTGCTAATGTTACGATTGCATATGAGGCATGTCTGTATGATGTGTGATCAGAAGTGAAATTCTTGTTCATCCTTCAGAATAGATGCAAAAGGTCACAGTCTAGTTGTGGCTGTTTGTTGTACAGAAGTACAACCCTGCAGGCACTGGTCCAAACACTGCATTTACTACAGAATGCGGCAAACCTTCTGTGAGGTTGCTGGCCCACTCCTTGCTCTCTCATATCAATTATTAGAATGCATTGCAAGAGCTAGAACTGTAATATCTGGGGCTTTCCTGCCTTCTGTCCACAGCTGTGGATATCAATACTACAGAATTCATGAAACGTGGGAGGAAACCTCTCTAGATGGGCTACAAGTCAGATTTTAAATCATTGGAAGTTTCTATGTAAAATGTTCCGTTTTAAAAGTAGGGTCATAAGACATAAATCCTCAGTGTTCCTACACAATTGTAGTCCCTTTCAGCTGATTGGAGCTATTCTGGGGTAATGTGTTCTGAAGGTTGGAATCAGAAGGTTTTCCAAGATGTTACACAACTAAAAGAGATCCTGCAAAGACTTTCTAAGTTTGCAAAATCCGATTCTGTTACCAGAAGATTTTTACATCTTTCAATCACAATATTTTTGAAAAGTTTAGTATCTTACAGTTGTGAAAATCTCAATGATTTTGTAATGTGCATTTCTGAATGATACTATCATTGACCAAGAAGTTTCATATTACTTCGCCTGGACAAGACTGAAGGGAAAAAAGACAACTAGCCAATGCCTAGAAGTTTACTTTGAGTTGCAGTCTTGCCTTTCAACATTATGGGTTGGATCCAAACTTAGTCATTCTTAGCATAGGAAATCAATGGATCTTGAACTGATCCTATTAATTCAGCAATTCCATCATAAGTATGAATAACTATAAGCTTTCTGTATCACTATGCTTAATTCTCCTTTATTGTAAGCAAATGTTGTCTTATACCAGAAGCATTTTCTTTACTAAGCAAGTCATTTCAGAATTATGCTCCTCACCAAAACAACAGCAAAACCCCCACAGGCATGCACACAGTTCAACTGTCCTTTTACATTTGGCTCCTTTAGCTGATGCATGAACCACCTTAAAGTTGCCCATGTTTGTGGGATATGTGTTGAAAAAAGGACTAAACTCCAGAGTCAGCAACATGTTCTTCAGCACCGGAGAGAGGGCTGTGACTGAGATTATTCAGCTTTTATGCCTACTAGATCTTCTATACCAGGCTAAACAAAATGGCAGCATCTAGTTGGACTTGCAGGGGCTCAGGCTACTAATGGGCCTGGGGAATGCCATGCTTTCTTCACCACTGCCACTGGTTATGCATGGCCCCATGGGGAGAGGACAAAATAGAAAACAAAAATGCTCTTTCCATTGGACTTCCTATATCAGGGCTTTGGAACCTTCTCTTCCCAACCCCCAGGGCTGCATTTCTTCCTGGGTATTTGCCAAGAGGTGCATGCTGGGGGTGAGGGGAGCCGGAACCAACAGTCAGTGGATTGCCCATCTTTTGCTTCTTTTGCCATTCCTTTTGCTAGACTTTTTTGTTTCTTTTTTTTCTGCCTGCTCTTTATCTTCCTGCCCTGTAGGCTGCCTGGGGATGGACAGTACCAGACCTCTCTGAATTGATTGCTTGTGCAGAGCTTCTGAAATTAGGTGAAGGACCACAGGTGTCCTGCCTTGCTCTACTCTGCCCTATATTTTCCTTCTCCTTTTGAGTTGTTTTGCATTGCCTGAGTTCCCATCAAGCCACTGGTGATAAAGGGGAAAATGTGTATCCTTTGTATAGGTACATGAAATTAAGTGCATAGCTATGTGCCTGAGCATATGACAGCAAATGCTCATGCCTCTGTGAATTTGAAAGTCTTTTCCTATGCCCTGGGGCACAATCTCCATTTAAAATTAGTTGTGTGGTCCCTAGGCAAAACAGGCTTCCCAGTGCTGTTATTTGTAAAATTATAAATGAAATGCAGCATACCTTAAAAAAAATAAACATCCTTTTTGGCCTAGGGATAACTGCTAATATATCACTTTTCAGTGTGTAAAATGGTTTTGCAAGCCTTATGTTGCTCATCTTTTTGACAACTCTGTGAAGTAGGTTTTTGATCTTTCTCATTCTGTAGGAGCTGAGGCTCAAACCACAGGGCCACTTCCCACATTGTGAAATTCATTCCTTTTAGGAATTAATGCTGAGCCCTTATGTAGAGTAGAATGACTGATGCAGGGTCAAAGAGGGGCAGGTACAGAAAGACTCACCAACTTATAAAAGGCATATAAAACAACTGCCTCTGTCTCAGTTGTTAGAATGGGATTCTGACAATGCAGAAGGATCCCCAATCATTGTGCAGAGTCTTATAAAAGATCCTCCTCCAGGAAGGATTTTTTCAGATCTCTCAGTATCTTTGGACTGGTAGTAGTGTGAGTGAAAGAAGAGACCTCTGGAACAAACTACGATAGTGACTTATATTGCATTTATTTAAGAAAATCGAAGTTTACATGCCAATAAAGTCAGCAGGGAAATAAAGATTCAAAGGGACAACAGAGCAGACTGTTTTGTGATACCATCTGACCAGGAGAAACATCTTTGTACCAAAAGAATAGCATGTTGCATTGACCCATTCAAAAGGGGGAGGCTAAAACATGCCACTGCTGGAACCAGTAAGACATGGAGAAGGAGAAGATCCAGCTAGCTATGCCTTCATACTCTAGGCAGACGGAGTGGTCTCTCAGTCTCTCTGCCTCTCTCAGGCACACACAGAACTCTTCTGATTCTCCTGATTCTGTCTTTTCAGTGGTCAGATGCAGGCTCACCTGAAGGAGGCACCACCCCACCCTGGCAACAGCCAGCAGGGGCAAGGCATGTACCAGCTCATCAAAGATGATGATAAGGCCCCCTCTAAATGCTTCTTTACAGAGAACTCACATTAAGCATACTTCCACTCCTAAGCTATCAGGTGTATTTCTTGCCTTCCCATAACATAATCTACTGGGATGTCAAACAGTCCTTTAACCATCTACATATTAAAAACCACTGGGTTGGAACATCTAATAATCTGTTTCTGGAAGTCAGACTGATTCACAAACGTTTTACTTCAAAAATAAAGGAAGTTCCTTCACAATCCTACAGGGAGATTTCCTGCTTCATTGGTAAATGTTGAATCATCATGTAGTGACCCTGCCCAAGGGGCTTTCATGTCTGAGTAGAAATTTGAGACTACTTTTCAGGAACTGGGTGGATAATTTTGGTACATGCAGGCAGCATAACACACAAAGGCATGTTCTTCGTACCATCCTGATCTGCTGTCACTCCTCATAGCTGGTAGATCCATCATAATTGGTTGCTGCTTTAGCTGCCAAGGATAACCTAGAACAAAGGATATATTTGCCTTGTCCAGCAATGCTTTCAGCTCTCCTATTCTACAGTTGAAGCCTGGGAAGTTATCATGTTAGACTGTATCTTCCTGCCATTAATTAACATTTGCCTGTTTGGACAAGCTTCTACAGACAACTGGAACACGAAAGTGCTTCTGTGTGCTCTCTACGGTGTCCTTTAGGCCTGCAAAATATTCATGGATTGAACATAATTCATCCATAGGACTTGTACAAATAAAGTCTGACATTTGCAGGCCGAAACTGTGCAGAAATTTCCTAGATTTTTATCTGGATAATGCTTGTGTGGTTTAACATTGTGCCTATTGAGTATAGGCCATTGGACAAAGGCTCTCTTCACATCTTACATCCACATGTAGACATCCAACAGGCTTGTATGGGCACAATTGTGATGATTTGTGCAGTCCTCAACATGTAGATGTTTCTCTGAACTGGACCAGTGTGTTAGTTTCAAATCATTTATTTTATGTGGATTTCTAAGATGCAAAAGTTCATGTCTTTTTCTTTCTAACCTTTCCCTCCCCCCACCCTATAAACCTTCCCCCTTGTTATACCTGCAGCTTAAGAAACTCTTGTTGGCTCCAGCTAACACCCAGATAAATTACAATGAATGCAGTGGCCTCAGCACACACAACCATGCAAACGCCAATCACAGGATCAGAACAAGCCCTGTGGCGGTTAAGGTACTGAGTTAACCTATGCAATGCATACAAAAAATTGTTCTGTGATTGTGTTTTAGATCATGTCTTCAATGGCAAGGTGTGGCCCAGTTCAAACACCTGTCAGGCCAATGATCAAGGAGTAGTGTGTGTTCCACTCTTCTGTCACACTCCTCATGCCATGTGGTCTGTTTGCACAATGGCCCCCTTGGAGCCACAGGCTTCCCCTCTTCTCCTTCAGAAGAGGCATATCACAAAACTGGGCCATCGTGTCCATACCTCAGCACAGAGCACCCTTACATAACAAGGGTGGAAGTGAAGTGAGGAGACACTTACCTGCTCCTTCACCTCAGAGTCCATTTCGACGCAGTGCAGGGAAGTCACAGGTCTGGTACCTTTCCCATTTGTGGGGAGGGGAGAAGAGGCTTGTTTATTTAAAATTATGTTATCCCCCTTTAAAGTATATGGGGAGGATATCCCAAATATAAAGAGAAGCTGCCTTGGTTCCTTTTAATATTCTGAATAATTCATGTTGTGCCTTTTTTCTTTTTGGCAGAATGAACTGGCATTTTTACAGTCTATTATTCTTTTCCTATGCACTGCCTAGTAGACATTGCTATTAAAATATTACCGATAGGCTGATGTGTTGACATGCAATTCTAGGCTGCCACTTCACCAGCGTCTAACTTTGAAAAAGATTATGCAGGAACCTTAGCAGAAAGGTCTGCTGTCGGCCATTAATTGGCTCAGATGCTGGCAGTGGCATGATTCTGTTAGTGAGGCCATATTAAACAATGTTTGTCTTGCCATGGACTGTAACTGAAAGCAGAGCGTTTAGGGGTACTTAAGAGAGTTGTAAGCACTGGGGTTGAGCAATCAGCAGCAAATTAAGGTTTAAACCAGCTTATTTTTTCCCTGTTCGTAGTAAAGGCACTGTAGGGTCTTGTTAGTTATATGTTGCTGAGTAGAAACACTGAAATGTAGGAGAAATGAAATAAAAAGCCACATAAATGTCATTTAGGAATTTTAAATGTAATTTTCTTTCCTTGTTCTGCAAACAATTATTCACAGCTCATAGAACTAGTGCGCTTAGACCAAACACTTCACTGAAAATTTCATCTCTTCAGAAAACCTATATCCATTCCAATAAGGTTCAGTTTACTAATTTCTGCTTTCTTCCCCCCTCCCCTTTCCCTTTTTATTGTGATTTGTTTCTTAAGACTGAGAATTCATGGAGCAATAAAGCTAAGAGCATTTGTCAGCCACAAAAGCCACAAAGGCGTCCCTGCTCAGAGCTTCTCAAGTATCTGACTACAAATGACGACCCTCCTCAAACCAAACCAACAGAGAACAGGAACAGCAACAGAGATAAATGCACCTCTAAAAAGAAGGCGCTTTTGCACTCCCAGACGCATCATTTGCAAGGTAGGCTTGTGACCAAAGGAGGGCATTTTGGGCATCTGTTGCCAGGGCAGCAAGTGGTCGTTCCTGTTTCCTGTGAATTTGAGAATGTGGTGGAGCAAAGATGAGGCAGGGGGCAAAGAGGGCTGGAGGGGATCTGTTGCTGCAAGAGAGGGTTTGCCAGTAAGACTGCTGAACAACCTCTACCAACATATGCAGGGAAGCCAGGCATGGCCAGATCCTTCTAAGTGGGCCAGCTTGACTTTCCATGGATCAGACCATTGTCCAGCTAGCCCAGAGTAATTTGCTGTGACTAGGATTGCCTACATGATGTGGTCTCACAGTCTTGCTACCCAACGGCCTTTTAAATGGAGGTTTCTGAGATGCCAGGAGCCTTTCGCATGAGAAACTAGTCCCTGAACTGAAACTAGTCCCTGGATGCCCCATGTTGGTTGCAGCATCTGCCCACTGCCTGACATCCTGTGGTTGGATAGTTCAGCACTATCGGTTCACACCCAGGAACTGGATGGATGCTTGAATGCAAGCCCATTTTGTGATTCTTGATATTTGTTCTTTATTTCGAACATTTGCATCAACATATGTTTTCAGGGTGTCTAACAAAGTGGTAAGAAAGTACAATAACAGAAGGGAAGACTAAATACACTAACAGGCAGAATTAAACAGCAGCAATTCATTTACATCCAGCCATTGCCAACTTGGTGCCCTCCTAATGCTTTAGTCTCCAGCTCCCATCAACCACCCATCAGGCCAAAGGTCAGGAATCAGTGTAGTTGGAATTCAAAGCATCTGGAGGCACTAGACGGGGGAAGGCTGGAACAGGCAGTACAATCAAAACTGCTCTAAGTTGAAAACACTAACCTTAGCAGTGCTCAAAAGCCTGGGGAGATGGAAATGTGTTAAATGATAGTGAAGAGGATGGGCCTTCTTGAGTAGGTTATTGCACTAATTTTATTTATTCCACTACCCAAATAGTCAGTTTTATTTGGAACATTAAAATGGTGGTTGAAACAAGTTCAGGTGGAGCTTTAAAAGTCCAGAAAGGCTTCAACTGGCAACAAAAAAGTAAAAAGTAGAATCCAAGCAGAGAGGGTTCCATTAGCAACACAGCATCACCAAGAAGAGTCTTTCCCCAGTCACCATCCACCTCACCTTGGGTGGCAGGGTGTCAAGAGAAGACCTTCACAGGTGACCTCAAGGTCCTGGAAGGTTGATGTGGTGCAGACATTTCTAAAGGCAGCCCTCCCCATCCTGTGGATGACAATGCTTTGGGGAAGGCTGTCTAAATAGAACTGTGCAGCCTCTCTCATTATGCCTCAACCATGTCTGAAGTAATGCCTGAAAAAAATATCAAGAGAAAATGTTCAGGCTCTGGATGTGGAAATATCTGGCACATCCTTCCTTGGCCACATCCTTTTCAGATATTGAAGCTGCTTTTAGACAGTTTTACCAAAGGAAACACAGGAAACCACTGAAAATCAGTGCAGTGAAGCTGTTTGAGCCTCTTAGTGAAATAGCAACACTGGTTTTGCACGCATTGCACATGAAGACGGCCTGATGTTTTAACTGTATGCAGTCCCTTAGTTGTAACTGGCATTTCTTGAGATCTCCAACTGTGTACTTGGGAAGCGGCCTTAAGCTTTCTGAAGTAAAGATCCTTGTCACATGCAAGGATGAATAAGGTGTACACCTTGATTGTGTCCAGAATATTCCAGTGTAAAAGCATTGTATGAACCTGACAAGCATGTTTTTGCACATAAATACATCTTAAGGAAGGGCCAGGGTTCTATATCTGGCATACCTTAAGTTTGCCGGTGCATCATACTGAGGAGATAATGAAGGTAATTGTGAAGAAAGAAAACCAAGCCAGCCAAGGAAATGTAACCCTGGGTGAGTGGAGGGTTAACTGGATTCCAGTAGCACAGACTAGTGATGTACCACAAAGAAATAATTACTGCTCTGGACAAGTTGGGCAAGGCAGTTCATCAGGGACCCTCTTTTCTTTTTACTAGGCTAAAATGAAGACATTGTTAACTTGCAGTGTATTCCTTGAGAGACAATAAAAACAGCCTTCTTGCAGCTTCTGAACAGACAATAAATGTGTCAACCCCATTTTATTGTTTTATTTTCTAAACTGTGTCAAGTGTAAGAACCATCCTCACCTCTCTTGCTCACTTAAAAAAATGTTTATGACCAACTAAACATCTGTAATGGCATTTAGTATTCTCCAGTGTATTCAAAGGCATTTGGCACTATTCCTGAGTTCTACAGCAGTGCTGCAAGAATGCATAGGCATCTCCACCCTTTGCCCAACTCTGTTGCTCTTCTTATCCCTCTCTCCTATTATCCCTTCCTCAAAGTTTATAGTCCCATGGAGAACTGTATTTAAAGATACAGCTTCTTTAAAAACTCACCTGTTGACTCTTTTTCCAAAGCATTAAGCCTTAGTAACATCAGCAGCCTTCAGCGACTCCAGCATCAGTGACTGAGAGAAACCCAACTCAAGTTGTGGGTTACGGCTCTGATGAACAGAGTTAGAAACAAATATAATCGCATATCTCTTCCCCTGCTCCTAAATTACTCATTTACCAAAACCATGAGGCCAAAGCAAGCCTGGGAGTAGCGATGTCTTAAATATCTGTAGTTTGATGAGTGTTCTGAATTGTCCATCGATGCTAAAATCTGCTATGCCACTGGTCCTTGTGCTTCTCCTCTTATGTAATGACCATGTGTTTCTCGGGGTGATCTAGACAAACAGGGCTTTTAACCTTATTATTTTCTCGAAGGCAAGATTACAAGAGTCGAGCAGGGTAGTCAAGGACTGGACATAGAGTTGCCATAAGTTGGGGACGATTCAATGGCACGTACCAACAAACTTGAAGGCTAAGTCATACCACAAGCTGGGAAAAGTGGGACTGGGGCCTGATGAATTCAACTGTATTTGACAAATTGTGATTTCAAACAGTTCTTATTATGCCTCAGTGTTGCCTAAATAACAATTGCTATGGGGTATCTGCTAAGTATATCATGCAAGTAAGTAAATAAGCAGCCCCGCTCTCTGTTAGGGTTTCAGAAAATCATGTGGTTGTTCAAAACCAAAGGGCATCACAAAAGGTAAGGGGCTGGACCCCTCCACCTTTCCCTTGTAAGTGGAGCACTACCTATCTCATCACTTTACTCAAGAGAGTTGATTTAGGGATAAGACAAGGTGAAAAGCAAAGAAGGAAAAGAAAAGCCCTTCCTTATAGATCCTTAGCCCTGACTAAATCAATAGTTGTGATTCTATATATTTATTGAAGACCGACTAAATGTCAATGCTTACTTTTTCGAGCATATTTCATGCCCTGGAGAAGAAACCAAAATCAATGAAGTGGCCAAAGAATTACATTATGGAGAGAGAAGCCTTACTGCTCTTAATGAGCAGGAAAGTTTCAGTGCAGCATGTAACTCTTTTCCATTGGTAAATATGCGGTTAAGAGAGAAACAAAGAGATGATTCACTCAGGTAGAACTTTCAGATCACCTTTAATGGAATTGAATATGCATTCTATTGTATGCATTGCAGTAGAAGTAATTCAGGACAAGTCTTTCATGCATGCTGATGCCAGTGATCTGGTAAGGGCCAAACCAGAAGAGAAAACTGATCTTCCATTTCTTTTAAACAATTGGTCAATAGCTAAAGCTGCTGCTGGTAGTGTGTACGTATAGAAATATGGATTTGAACTGTGGGTCTAAGAGAGAAAATTAATGCTTTTTTCCTACATCGTTTTCCTAAAGTACCTCCCACCCTGTATATATAGGTTTCCCTTATTGGGGCAAATAATGTGTTAAATGAGAATGAGAGATTTTCAACAGGAAAATGGCACTGTGGGGAAAGCCATAATGCTCTCACTTAGCACCATGGTCCCGATCCAGAACCACGCTAGTTCTTCTCAGATGTTGAGCCTCTCGCTCAAAGCATGCATCACTTTGGGCATCCTGGGTTTCTGTTTGGGAATAGATATTGCAGGTGCCCCAGTCCTGCAGTGAGGCAGGAAAAATAAAGCCCCTTCCCTGTGCTTGGGTTCTGTGAAGATCAGGCCTTTGCACTTATTCTAGAGTTTAAAAAGCCAAGTATCACATGCTACAGTTCTTGAGTCAAAATCTGGGAGCTGGAGACTGCGGCCAAACTATCCGGATTGTCTCTGGTAAGGATAAGAGCAGCACCAGATGACAGCAGCAAATGATCAGGATAGTAATCTCATGCGGCATAATGGTGATTTCTCGGACTTGAATAGCAAAGCCCTTAAAGCCAAGCAGAAAACAGCCTGCAGCCTTGATTTTGGCCCCTCATTCTGACATACCTGGAGAAAGAAGCCTGAGGTCCTTAGCCCTGTCTTAGGGCTATCGCTTTCTCTGGCAACTAAACAACACTCTGTGGTTTGAAAACAGCAACAGAAGATGGCATTGCAATTGATTTTAGCAAACAAGCCCCGCAAAAGGCTCATCGCCTTACAGCTACAAACTCTGTTGTTCATTCATGTCAGGGTTTTAGCGTGGCAGAGTTAAACCCAATTTAAGCCATCTGCAACTCTCTTTCCCCTCTTTGCCAAATAATTTGCAAGCACTTGGATCATATTTGGTTGGGTCTTGGCCTCACAGAAGCAACCTATTTCCCTACTGCTGTATATAAAACTGTATATTGTACAAGTAAAATCAACTGAATATTCATAGAGTTCTGTCGCTTTGTAGTTATACTGCTGCTGTCGTCTCCAAGTGAAACGTGAACTGTAGTTTAAATTAAACGTGAGAGCAGCACATTTTCACAGTATGTTCTGTGCATTTTGTTTGGTAGTTTACTAAATTCTTCAGGTTTGTATTGCAGTGGCTCAGCGGTTGACATGCATCAATCTGCAATGAATGTGACCACTTAAGGGTTCCAAAGTAGTTTCCTTTTATGTATCTGGAATAATATATAGATGGGTGCTGGAACTAGACATAATACAAGAGTGGCAGCTGCTGAAAAACCATCTTGCATTCCCTCTTTCTTTCTTCCATGGTAGCAGGTAACACTACATGCTAAAACTGTCTTCCCCAACCTAGGGCCCTCCAGATGTGTTGGGCTGCAATTCCATGCTGTCTGGAAGTTGTGGAATTGTGCTCCAGCACATCTAGAGAGTGTCAAGTCGGTGAAGTCTGAGGTAAAACTTCACAATGCTGTGAACTTCTCTGCTCCTACAAGTAGCAGTCCATGGAGAGGAGGACGGAAAATGCAAACCACTGGTGGAGTTTCACCCATCATTTAAGGATTCAAGGCTTAGGAGAAATAGGAAATGTGAGGTTCTCCCATTTTCCAGAAGCAGCCATGCTGTTCCAGTTCTATTCAGTCTAATTTAAACAGCAATTATAGTTGCAGTTTGCATTGTACAAAATGCTCTTGTCATTTCACAATATTTCATTCTTGATTTTCCATCTCCCCACCCCTTCAGCCAAACCAATGAGTTTATCGCTTCCTTTGACGCCTGAGTCTCCAAAGTAAGTATCAAGAACTGTAAATATTTACAACAGGGAGGGGGTTTTAAATACATTTTGGCTACAGCAACTCCATTTCAGCTTGTTTTTATAAATGTGCCCTGTCTTCCAGTGATCCCAAGGGTTCCCCATTTGAGAACAAGACTATTGAACAAACTTTAAGTGTGGAACTCTCTGGAACTGCAGGTGAGAAGTGCAATGTGAGATATATATATCTGTGTTTTCTGTGAGGTTTTATTGCTAGCTTGACATTATGAAGTGCATAGTTATATGTTACTGCGGTCTCTTAAGATATTAATTTTAATGTAGTTTAACAACGATTTTTCCCCACACAGTTCCCTAAGATGAGATTTGCTTTAAAATTATGATTCCACTGTTACATAGCATAACATAATGTCTGGGGAGGAAAAAGGAAGGAAATAATTTATCTGGAACAAATTCCCAGTCCCCTAAAGACTATTATATCACTAAATACCTATTTTCATTTACTTTCCCTTTCTGCCCTTTTCCCTTGCATGGAACCTCAGAGCCAGTTCACACATGCGTGTTCATTCCTTGACAACTGCAGCATCAGCTAATGGCCTACAGGCATGAATGAGCAATCCTAAGCGTGTTAGGCAAAACATTAGTATTGCCTCAGGCACGATGCTTTCCAGTGGAGTCATGTCAGAATTTTTGTCCATGTAATTATCAGCTGAGTGTGAATGTGAACTGGATCATATACCATACCACCAAAGTCTTGCACCATCTGATCAGCATTTTAGAAGCTGGTTAATTCTAGAGGAGAAAACATGGTCAAACGATTTTTATTAGGCAAGAGCAAAGGGACCATCATGCTTAGGATGGCATTGCTGAGTCAGAGCTATTCTACAACTTTTAAAAAGGAGAGAAGAACAGATAATGGACTCAGTTTTGTTTTGTCCCTCTGCCTTGCACATTCGTTGTCCCATTCTTGATCCATCCAAGCTTTAATTGCTTATAATTAATTTGAAGATACTGTGCTTACATACTCCTTTTGCAGAAATCCAACAAGTAGGTAACTGTTCAACCCTATGCAAGTTTTTTCAAATGTAAGTTGCACTATATTCAGTGAGGCTTATGTCCAACTATATAAAGATAGGATTTCAACTTAACTATCCATGTACACTTAAAAAAAAATCCACTGATATTAGTGGGATTTTCTTCCAAATAATCGTGTGTGACACCTAAATTACTTGTTTTGTTTCCTCTGATGACCAAAACAGGCTCTAGTTTACATGTGTACCTAGTATTTATTTTTTATTTATTTGTTTAGAAAATTTCTATGCTGCCCCATTCGCCGAAGCCTCGGGGCGGCTCACAAAAAGCTACTCGTAGCTACTCCTTCTTTTCTTTTCTTGTTCTAGTGTACATATAGGGCCACTGCTCTGAATTAAGTCCCAAGTGTGAAGGTACAGATACACCTGTATACCTACTCTCTAGAGTTTTAAAAGATGTAGCTGCTAAATATGGATATGAAGTAATATCTGCTTTGGCTCTGAGTGACATGCTGTGACCTCTTGCATGGCAGGAGTTGCAAGAACTCTTAGGAGCGATGATTTTGGCTTTGGCTCTGTGCGGATTATTGTTATGTACAGCAGACAATGATTTTAGGGTTATAGGTTAAAATCCACTATAGACTAAATTACATTCAATTAATCACATTTTTTTAGTAGCCAACCTTCATAATAAAATATGACATCACAATACCTATTTTGCATATTATACTAATGATATGGGTAATCACTTAAATGATGTGCTTTGGTTCTAATTTGGCACCATGGATTCCTCACAAGAGGAAAAAAGGCAAGATATGAATGCAAAGTGATGATAATGATGATAAATTTAGTTGAAGAAAAACATGCTACTCTCATTGCTGAAGATCTGTAAGATTATAGAAACATTATAGCTGTTGTTATAGCTATAACATTATAGCTATAACATTATAGCATATAACTGGCTATTGTTAAAACCTGTTCCAAATTTTATCAAGTCTCTCTACCAAACCCTGACCCCTTACCTTTCACATTACAATTTGTTGCGTGGCAACCCCCTTCCACAAATATGTGGGGCAGCTTTTTCCAAACAGTTCCCAGATGTTTTCAGCTTCAGTCCTATCTGACCATTGACCATGTTGGCTGGGGCATGGATACTGAAATTTAAAATATTTAGAGGGCCTCAGTTTGGGACAACTCATGTAAACAAGAATTGTAGCTTGGGATCTGCAAACATTCTTCAAGAGCCCTATTAGGACTACAGCTCCAGCAAAGCCCGTCTTCACTGTCAATCTGTAAGTGTATAAATTTAACATTCCCTCTTAGCAGCAAATCCTCAGATAATTTAGATTAGATTGGTTCCAGCAAAGTCAATGGACAATCTCAATTTAGACAGGGCTTTTTGATCTTCTGAATTGATCCCATTCACATCTCTCTTGCACGAACTTCTTTTGTTGGTTCACTGTTAAAATGCATTTCTGGAAACCAGAAGGCACCTGGTTATTTTGCAGATGCTGAACATGTTTCTATAGAAAATGGGTTAGCTGGAGCTATATTCAACTGTTCCAAAACTGTAAATGCACAAGGAGAGGTGTGTGCTGGCATCACCCTCTTCATTGTTGCCTCCATCACCCTCTGCATGTGGAGAGTAACTTTCTGGAAAGAAGAGCTTTCTGTATCTCTGTGGGCTCTGCATGAGATCTGGAATGCCAGTTTTCAGTTTCCAGATTGTGTGGGGAACCCCCATGGTTAAAGGGCTCAGTCCCCTTACAGAAAGCGTGATGAAAGAGATGATAGATAGTGGTGCTCTCATGCAACCATTCCTTGCATGTTAGTACTTGTTACTTTTGGGACACCTGAATAGGGCTTAGGGCTAAATGTGATCTACAGCTATCTTTCTGTGTGATTAAAAACCTCAGGGTTGGTGGAAGATTTTGGGCAAAACAGTGCTCCTTTGTGGGTTTGGCACATGCAAAGGTTTACATAGAATTAGCAGATATATGCAGCTTTTGACCATACTTATGCCTGCAGCATCAAGTGATGATGTGTAAGTGTGAATGAACTATTGTGGGTCAAAATAAGAAAGAGAACTTCCATGCCTTTAGGCCTGTCTTCTGCCTGCATCCAGATAACCATGCTGATTAAGGGCTGGGCATAATGTTACAGGCACCACTGTAAATTTAGAAATGATAGCCACATGTAGGTTGTTCAGCCTGTAATAAAAGCTCCCAAATATTATGAGCCTGTTTGAAATTGCTCACACAGGGATGTGACTTTCCTATGACAATGGACTGGCAGCCAGTGTAATTTCACTATTCTTTTTTTTTAACATCACCCCCACAATGCATGGCAGTAACATTTTGAAATAATTGGGTATTACACAAACCAGTTCCTAGGAAACAGCTTTCCAGCATCAGTGAACCTCTGGAAAGTACCACTTCAGAATACCTGTGGGTGAAGTTTACATGTTGGAACATGTTCCATGGGAGGAAAAATTGAATTTTAGCTAAAAGTTCTCAAAAGAGAACACCAAGAAGCATGGGGGAGGAGGCACTTTGCAGGTGAAGTGGGGATGAAACTGTGCACCTGCTTTACCATTTCAATTTTGAGAGCAGGGCGGAAAACTTCAACAGAGCTCTCCTAGCTTTTTGAGCTAGCACCATTTTGGTGTTCCCAGAAAGCCCAGTACTAGTGCAAGCTTAGCATATCAATTGAAATTTGCCCCCTGCCTCCCAAAATAGATGAAACTTCCCTTCCACGTTCATGGCCTGCAAATGGGGACATAAAATGAAGGGGGATTGCCCCTCTAGGAAGAACACATCTGAGTTTGGGGAGAAGGCTAGACAAAACTTTTCACCACGGCAGGCTAGTTTTCTATATATAAGGCTCCCCCCCCCCCCCACCCCACATCACTGAATCAGGGAGCATTCAGACTTAGAGCTGTTCCCTTTCCTACCTAGGAAAATTTAGTCTAGGGAATTTTTGACCATTTGCTTCTGCCAGTGGGGTATCTTGGCCCTCAGAGAGCCTTTAGAGTGAAAGTAAGCAAATGTCTCAGGTAGGCTCCAATTTACTTTACAAATTTACAAATCCCTAAAGTTGTTTTGAATAATAATATAGTTCAGAGATGGACCCAGGAAACGCCAAGCTATAGCTGAATAGTAGTGTTGCAGCTTCTGCTGGGATAGTACCTTGTGTGCTGCCCTAGCTCTATTTATAACAATTTAAATAGTGGTTGCCTTGATCTTACTGTTGAACTGAAAAGGCCATTAGTGGGCTTGCTGATGCTATCAAAGCACAAACTATTATAATATAAATAGCAACTTCCTTGATCTCTCTCTCTCCCTCTCCTCTCCCTCTCCCTCTCTCTCTTTCTCTCTCTCTCTCTCATACTCTCATATTCTCCACTGCCCTCTCCTTTCTAACACAAATGTGTTCGTTTCTGCGCAAACAGTCAATTGATAGATTTCTCCTCTTCACCCATATATTCTGAGCAGGTTTTGAAAAAGCTGAATCTTAAAATTCATTCTATACATTAAAGATACTTTTTTCTAGAATTTTATTGAAATAGTTGCAAGCCTGATTATGTATCAAGAGTTCAGAATTCTGAATATTCAGAAAAGTTCCATCAGTAAATTTGAAATTTATTTTTTCTGTTACTGAACCTATTCTTCCCACCACACACACACACACCTCACCTAAAGGTTTTGCCTGACACTTCTTGTAGATCTTGTCTGGCTCCAGTAACCCAAATCTAGTGACAAGACAGTGCTGTGCTGCATTTTAAGATGGCAGGCCTGCAAATGGTTTAGGAATAAGTGGAGGAGTTTTAGGTGTGTGAAGAGATTGTTAAGATTTTACATGCATTTAAATAGCACCTGATTATTTCTTTTGCATGTATTGCTAAGAAGAAGTATCAATAAAGGCAATAAAGTTGACATCAAGGGCCCAACAACTAACTCTGTGATGCCTCGGTATGGATACAATGTATCTGTATGACCTACTTGGTAGGGATGTGATGCTTCAGAATAGATTTATTTATACTGTGAATCTCTTACTATTAGTATTAATTGTGATAATTCTAAACCAAATGGAAACTCCATGTTTAGAAGAAGTATACTTTGGTTATCAGATGCTGGATTTCAACAGGTGCCACCGGCAGATAAAACTTCT